GTTACAATTTAAATGGGAATACATTAAATAATGTGGTTGAAGAAAAATATTTTGGCATTGTGATTGAAAAATCATATAAGTCATCTAAACATTGTATTGTAGCTAGCAATAGGGCTAATAGGATTTTGGGTAGCATCCATAGAAATATTGAATACAAGACAAAGGATATTACTACTTCACTGTAAGGCCTCATTTACAGTACTGTGTACAGTTTTGGGCTCCCTTCCTCAAGAATGACATTGAATTGTTGGAGAAGGATCAGAGAAGAACCACTAGGATGATAAGTGGGATGTTGGAATTGTCCTATGAGGAAACTAAAATAGCTAAACTTGTTTTTGCTGGAGAGGAGAAGGATCAGAGGGAATTTGATTGAACTGTTTACGATTATTAAGGGTATTGATAATGTAGATCCATACTTTTTTGTGTTTAGTAGTGAAAACAATACAAGGTGTCATAAATCCAAATTTTGGCAGTGTAGGAGTCATCTGCAGTTTAGACAGTATTACTTTTCAAACAGGGTGATTGGCTTTTGCAATGAGCTGCCTTCAAGTGTGGCGGAGGCATAAAATTTAACTGAGTTCAAAAAAAGATTGGATGAATACATGAGTAGTAATGGTCGGTTATAGTTGGGAACTGGAAGGAACATTTTTTACGGGCTAATAACCTACTTTTTGTCCCTTTAAAATTTTATGAAGTTATGAAATTAAACTACGTTTACAATGTATGACTTGTACAGCATTATATAATGAAATTTGTCATAACTATCGCTTTTAAGATAATTAACTTTTAACATTCCTGCCATAAAACCAAACAATCATCAAATACTAGATCACTAAATAAACCAAATAACAACTATTAAACTGAACAGTCTTGTACATCCAACACTGTCAGAAGTATTATCTGTTATGATCTTTGCTCATCAACCAAACAAATACATCCTCATTTACTTCACATTCTGCTCTGAATAAACTGGATCACCCAGTTTTTGCCACTGACCATTCACACAACAGATGTCCATCTCTCGATACAGCTTCTATCCATACAATCACATCTTTTATGACTGTTGCTATGGTCAATGTAAGTGTTGACCTGTCCTGCTGCCTATCTTCAACGTGTTGAACTTAATGCCATCTGCCACTCAACATTTTTTCTTGGCTTCACTGACCCATAACTGGACCAATTTCAGTCTTTGAAGTACTGCATCATCTGTAGATTTACAGGTCTTGAAATAATTTTCAGTGCAAGATACAGATCTAAGAGAACTGAGAAACAATCAAAAGTCGAATAAAATAAGATTACTAATACGGGTAAATCATTAGGATAGAACAGAGATGAATAGGCAGAAGTGATTTTAGATATAAAGGAACAGTTGAGAATTTGTTGAAGTATGTAATAAAGAGACTGGATAACATGAAACTTTAATGGAATATGAATTTACAACTTAGTTTAGGAAGTGTCAGAAAAGACAGATTAATGTTTTGATGTAAGTGATTCTGTATGTTTGTATTTGAATTATATTATAGGTTTTTAAATGAATGTTCTTGTATATACAGTTGTTGTTGCATTACCCATGTAAATTTTCTGTAAATACATAATCAACAAAGACCTCGGTCCCGTCCCATCCCCTGGGGTGTAACATTTAACAAGGTCATACGAGGAATCTTATCCTTTGAGATTTGTTTTTCTCTTAGTCTTGATTGTTAATAATAAATGTTATGTACTTTCACATCACTTATTTCTAATCTGACAAAACACTTAAAGAAGAGTGTTCGAGATCAACAGTGCTAATCTTAAAACCTAAAAAAATATTTTTCCAGTAATAGTTCTGTAAATCTTAAACTACCAATTACAAATATAGAAAAGTGTCAGTTACGAAAAAACAAAAAACAGTTTAATGTCATTGGTAAGAATTTTTTTTTGGTCATTCTTACTTTACAAGGCAAATCCTGGCAAGTACTGGGCATTTCAAATAAATAATGAAATAAATGAGGAATTAAAACCTTTTACCTCTCTTTGCTTTATTTATGTTTAACATCTCTACATTAATATACTTAATACAATTTTGTAGGCACAGTTATTTTCATTATTTTTTTGCTTTAAATCACCGTAGAATATATTCGTTAGACACAGACAACACAATCATATTTTGTCTAATACTTTTTAGATTTTGGGTTTGAGCTCATGATAAAATTCATAAAACTAACTTTTTGCTTTTTATGAAACTGACTTCATCAAAATGATACAGATTACAAACTGAGAGTTAATTATTTTACTGGTAAAAACTGATTTTTAGTTCCTTTTCAAAAGTCAGTCATCAGTTGTTTATTATAGTGAAAACTGAAAACATAATATTTTATGTATTGCTGAACATTTTTACGTTTTACATAAACATTATAATCTAAATTTGATTTTAAGTACTTTATTGGTAAATGCAACATTTTACTTGAAAGATCAGAGAAGTTTTAATTATAATTGTACTGTTACAAGTTTGCCAAACTAGTTAATTATATATGTGATAACGTGTTAGGTATTTGGCCAATTTACGAAATATCTCACTGTCGAAACTATAATATGAGAAGAAAAACTTGAGCATAAATAATAAATTTGTAGTTAACAGAAAATAAAATTAATATTCATAGTTTCTCATATGAAAAATAAGACAAATTAGCTTTACTGAACCATCTTTAAAATTTTGGAGCCCCTCTTAAGCACAGTGCCGTGCAAGTAATTTGTTTCACAGTGTAACTACCGACTGTTTTTAAAATCTACTACTCGCTTTATTTTCTACTCATATGTAACACGTAGCAGCAGAATGACAAGATTAGTTATAAGACTATCCAAAAATAGTGAATAATACGTATTCTCTTTATTGAAACTCCACTGATGGCCCTACTGCTACAGAAATTTTTGTTTTGACATCCGTTTATAGGCTTACAGCTCTGGTGTTTAAACCTTGTCATTATTTACTAATGCTACTAATGGAAAGTAGCAGATGTGAAGTAAATTTTAAAATTACTAGATATTTCCAGTTTCACTTTTTCCTGACTGCCCCCACATCCTGTTCTTTATCTTCAAAAATTATTGTTCCATCATGAAACATATGAAGATCTTCATCATACAGCTCTTCAGGGAGTGGATTTGAACTGTCTGGGTAATAAGTAGGAAAATACGGAGGTGGATTCTCTTCTGAAAATTTTCGGTTCTCTGCACTTGCATCCATTATGTAAACATAGTGGTGTACATGACCAGGAACAGCGGGCCCATGCACCCAGATCACGTTATACTTGGTGTTGATACGCCAAATCTGAACAAAACATTCAGTAACGAATCAAATACACTATCGTTATTCACTTGAGGACCTTCAAGTATTATCCAACTAGATGAGAACTAAAAAGTAAATGTGTAATTTTTTTACAATATTTTAAAATCATTTTATGTAAAAATTAAATTTGGAAGATGGGTTCAAGTTAACAGCATTAAAAAATTTCAATGAAAACTTTTTTCACATAAATATAAAGATGTAAAATGAAATTATACAATATGAACTTGAAAATTATTATATGATGTATAAAATTTACTAAACTGTTGAAAACAATTAATTATAATAAAAAATATTATGTACTGTTTAATAATTACCTTCAACCCTCGAAGAATTCTTTTTTCTTGTCCCATGTGTCCTGGCATCTTTTTTCCTTTCCATACATTTGCCTTTTTCTAAATTTTGTTAAAAAAAAACTTCTCTTTTTTTTATATTGAAGTATTAATAATAAGGCTGGATGATAAACATTGCTAAAATATATAACAGCTAGCAATCTTGTGGTGAATATTTCAGTATAGTTTAAACATTGCTAAAATATATAACAGCTAGCAATCTTGTGGTGAATATTTCAGTATAGTTATGGGAGAAATTTTGTTTTGTAAGATAACTAAAACTGAAAAAGTATTACTATGCATATTGAAAAATATTTCAGATATATCACTATGCTGAAATTCCCAACTGAATAAACATGGGGAAAGTGAACTACATTTCAGGTAATATTGTTTCTTAGAAAAGTGTGCGAAGTGTCCTTCAAATATCTGTATAAAAGAAATTGGTGAAATATTTTATCCCTATTTATAAGCTGAAACTGTGGAAAATGTTGCAAATAAAACCTTTATTTTTGCAACAAAAAATTAAAAACATTTTTTACTAGATTTGCTATTAAGATAAAACTGAAAGAATATTTCCACTAACTAAGCAGGTGTTTCACTAACATTAATATATTTCAGTTAACCTTTACAGGTTAATGGGGTATCAATGATATCATTATTTTCATTTAACTTTAAAATAACCAAACTTCAATGAAACCTACTAAAAACCTTTTAAACAGTGTTCATTTGTAGCATAAAATATTCACAAAATTTGATTTAGTAATCATGTCAGAGGGTTCTTGATAACCCTTAACCCCAACTGAGTATTTCATGAACAAAATTTTTATTTTAACTGTTGATCCATTTTATATATCCAATCAGTTTTAGCTTGTCTCATAGTCAATAATATCTTTTAAAACCTGTTTTAGCTAACTGAAGCAGTAAACTTTCAGTTTTAAGTCGTACAACCACAGTCCATCTGCCATGGATTTATTGATGAAGAATAACCAATTTGATGACATCATCTTTGTCAGGCACAGTAGCACAACAATTTTTTTGGTTGAGATCAATTTATATCTAGTAATCTTAGTTTGTTTTCAATAAATATACAGTTCTTATATTTGTTTGTGTTGTTTGAAAACAAGAGACTTAACAATGTACAGAAACAATAAGGATAATTCTTCGTCATATATCTGATATCTTGTTATACAAAAATATACCTTTACCTTTAAACGAACAAAATATATCACAAAAACATTATCAGGAAGAAAACAAACAACATCAGAAGTTAAAACATAATCCCTAATTAACTGCAAAGTATTTCTAAACTTTATCTTTTTTTTTAATACCCTTGACTGCATCAAACTTCACCATTTTCAAAAAGGAAAATTAATGTACTCATGGTACAATTAGAATTTGGATTGAAAATATAGCATCATCCTTATTGGCTGTAAACTGTTTCTTTCAAAGCTGAGAAAGCTCTCAAAACCTCTCTAAGTTCAACCAATAAACTCACAGTTTGACAAATAGAAAGTGTAGAAACATAATACAAACATTAATCTAACCCAAAATGATGAAATCTGATTGAAAAAAATACGTATAAGCTTACGAGCCAGAAAAACAACAACAAAAAAATTAGAATTGTCATATTTATAGTTCAAACACCTGGAAATATGACAAAAATTAAAGCATTATTTTTGAATAAAAAAGGAATAAAAAATAGAATTAGAATTACGTTTAATTAAAATTTTAAAAGTTCAGTCTGCACTTGAAAGAGTTAAACAATGTCATAAGCTACAATTTTACATTTTCTTTAACACCCAATTTGAGAGATTAGGTGGGCTACTGAATGGTGTTACAGTTTCTGATATTCAAGTTAGAACCAAACTAATGTACTCTGATAAAGAGCTTAAAAACACTATACTGCCAAAAGAACCCTCCTATCAAGTGTTCAAGAACATTACAAAGGAGTGAAGTTTAGAGGGTCCCCCAGACTTTGTTCCTCTTGCACATGTTAGTAAAAATGTTCATGTTCAGGCAGATACTGCACTTAACCAACTTACAAATAAGCTTCATTATATTATCCTTGACCTTCTCTAGGAAACAAAATTGTGAGGCAATGGAGAAAATTAACTAAGGAGGTAGATCGTGTACTGTCTGACGTGTTCAGCCACTACCCCGTTATGTGGAAATTTGGACAAGGTGTATGGGTTTTACTCCCTCATGACCTAGAAACTAGTGCAAAGGATCAAAATATTGCAAGGACTTGAAACCTCTATTTAAAAAAAAAAGCGGAAAAGTTTTATTTGGAAAGCAACCCACCAAACATGGCTCTTTGACTCACAGACTGGGTGTTAAAAGCTCAATCAACAAGAAATATCTGTACTTTTATATTGAATATCAAGCTTTACATGTATTTATCCAAAATATAAATCATGAAAGTATGCTAAGAGGTAATTTTAATAACATTTAATATAAATCCAGACTTACCGCTCCTCCACCTATTGCTCCAGGCCTACGATGTGATTTTGTGTTACCATGAGTTCTGGGGCCTCCTTTCATCCCCCAACGTTTTACTACACCTTGGAAACCATGACCAATTCTACAATTATGAACAAAGTTACACATAGATATGATAAACAAAACCACACATTAATATTCATTCACACACATTACATTCATCTATAAAGATTAATCTCTTCCTCATTCCTCAAGATGTTTATCAAGGCCCTATAAGAAGCAGTTATGATAATAATTCATTTAAAAAAAATCAATAATGACTATAAAAATACTTTTATCTCCTTGCAAAGTTATTTCAATATAAGAAGGTATAATAAGAAATGTTATAACACAATTGTAAAAAGTGAAATTGACACCAACCGGGAAACCTTATTAAGAACCTCAAAAATCTTGTGTTTCAGAAGTCAGTTCTTGAATATTAAATTACACAAAAAATTATAAACCAATATTTTACTTCATCACGGGAAATGACAAAATTCTCACCTGATAAAAAAAATTGAAAATAATCTTTAAAAGATTTGCATAATGAAAAATAGAAATCAAATAACATGGAAAACAGTAAATTATTATTGGTTTGTAACATATAATAATTAAATCTACCTAAAGAGAGTTGAATATGTCAGCAAGTTACATGCCAATCATAGCCAATATGAAGTAGTAGTGGAATGGAATGTATAAGAACTATATTTTGACATTGTTTGGAATTCATAGGTAGTGTGATGCAACCAAAAAAAAGTTGTCATTGTTGGGACAAGTATGTAACAGTCCTTTTGAATGAGAAACATTCAAACACTGATATTATTTTAATGTATTCATATTGGAGACTTAGAATATCCAAGATGGGGATATCTTTGTACATAATGGTGTTGACAAATGAAGGAATATTGATCAACTTGGAACTCTGGGATCATCCAAAAAAGAGATCTGCAAAACGTTGAGCCTCAGTCGTGGTAAGAAAAGTGTGGGGTCCTGTAACAGGTGAGAATCCATGAATATAAAGGTCAGTGGCAGAGCATAGAAAAAAAAATGAGTGCTGTGCTTTGGACAATGACAGCCTTACAATGGAGCCTTTTGCAGTGGAAACTAAGTTGTACTGTTCTCAAGATACGTGGTTGTTAGATAGATCATGAACAGACTCCAAAATCGTTTTAATAGGATGCACTCAATCCTCTGTAACAAGTTTTATGAAACAGTTTAGGTAAGTTAAAAACAAATACATAATGCAAGTAAACACATACATTGTGTGTAAATATATATGTATGTATGTTTCACATTTTTTTTAACTAGTATTATTCACTACAGTTTCTAATTAGTTTTCCACACTAATAAAGCCTCTCATTAGTAAGTTGTAAAAAATGTACAAACTACTTACTCAACTAAGCAAGATACGGTTGAATTTTTGATTCAGATTAATACTCAAATCTGACAATGCAAACAGGCCGTCTCAGAAATCTAATAAACTCAAAGTTGGCATCAGCTGCAATTTATGTTTCAAATTAAAAATAATTTTAATGTTCAATACTTTGAAAAAACGAGTATCAACAACATGTACGTGCTTAAGACAAGTTACCAGCTGTGTGCTTAATGTCAATTCTATGCACTCACATGGTTGAAATGCACATTGCATAAACTGTAAAATATAAAGTTAACAGTAAATTCTGATTAAGATAGGGAATACAAAACTCTTTTACAATTTTCATGATGTTTTACTTCTGTTACTATTCACTAATGACAAACTTTTACATGTAATTTACTAGTTATTAACCAATGAAATTAACGAAATGCCTTCAGAGGTAGCAGATGCATCAATTTAAGGGAGTTTTGGGAAAGGTTTGGTAAATATCTCAAAGGAATACTTTACACTATCATCTTTTAAAGTCTAGTTTAGTGGATGGGACAGCCCTGATGGACCAATAGACTCCTTATTGTCCTTATGTATTATGTTTATGTATATATATATATATATATATATATATATACACATAGACACACACACACACATGTATAAATGTACATAAATAAATATATTACAGGTCAGAGCATGGACAAAATGAGAATATTTGTTTATCTGAAATTTGCACAAAACTACTTGAGGGCTGTCTGCACAAGCTTTCTCTAATTTTGAAGTGAAAGACAAGAGAGAAGGCAGCTAGTCAACACCATCCACTGCCAACTCTTGGGCTCCACTTTTAGCAATGAACAGTGGGATTGACTATCACATTATAATGCTCCTATGGCTGAAAGGGCAAACACATTCAGTGACGTTTGGTTCCACAACCTGCAGATTGGGAGCCGAGCACTCCAACTGTCAGGTCAGGTCAAGTCAAGCTACAGCGGAATGAAATAAAGTTCCACAAAAATAATTACTTCAGAGCATGAAGAAAGCTTGTAAGGAAATTATAGCCCATCTGGTTAACTCGAAGATTAACAGAATGTGTATGTATGATATTGTCCTGATCTCCCACATTTTGATCTGACATCAGAATTTGAAGTTTTTGTTGTTTACCACTCATTGGTATCAAATAAGAATACTTTTCCTATTGATAGTCAACAGGTATGAATAATTATCCTACTAATAGTGTATCATGTAGAAATAATACTCATTCCAACAACAAGTCAGGTATAAATCCTCCTCCTTCCAACAACAAGTCAGGTATAAATAATCCTCCTTCCAACAACAAGTCAGGTATAAATAATCCTCCTTCCAACAACAAGTCAGGTATAAATCATCCTCCTTCCAACAACAAGTCAGGTATAAATAATCCTCCTTCCAACAACAAGTCAGGTATAAATAATCCTCCTTCCAACAACAAGTCAGGTATAAATAATCCTCCTTCCAACAACAAGTCAGGTATAAATAATCCTCCTTCCA